ATGGAAAATTAAGTAGAAAAAAATTATAAGAGTGATTTGAGGTACCAAAAGATTAACCAATGAGAACAAAAAAAAAATTATACACCAGGTTAAATTAGCTAAATGAAGAAGAAAAAATATAATTTCAACAAAGTAATTACTAATAAGTTAGGTTACTTGGATTAAATTTTAGATATTGTAAATTTTATTATATATGTTTTGTATTATTTTTATATATTATTATATATCGGAGTCGAGTCTAAGGTCGAAGACTAGGGGTATCTCCATCCTCGTTTTTTTATTTGGGGATTTCTCATCCCAATCAAATCTGAGATTCACCGATCAAACGGGGTTCGGTTGGCTGGTCCCTTTGGGTAGGGCTGAACTCTGTAGCATTAGTTCAATGCAAAACTCCGTATTTTACTCTTTTGGTACCTCAACTTTCGACTTTTGTCAACTTTAACTCAATTCTCAATTTTGATTAATAATTTAGTGTTGCCAATTTACTCCATCCAACCTTGAAATTTGACATTTGACCCTTTGTATTAATTTATTTACCTTGTAGTCTTCTTTAGTGACATTTAAGTCCCTAGGAATTGAACCCCTTTAACTTTATATAAATATTAATTAAACCCTTATAGTTAATTTAAATATCAAATAAACCCTCATTATTATATAACTTTCATATTTAAGAATTTTTATCATTAAAAATAATTAACTATAACGTTTTGATTGAACATTTTTATTCTTTCTAATGTGCAAAACATCTAACTCACATTCACGAATTCCACCAACACCGTCGCCGCCATCACCACCAACACTACCGTCGCCACCACCACCACTATCATCACCCATCACCACTACTATCTTCGTCACCACCACCACCACTATTGCCACCGCCATCGCCACTACCATCACCCAACACCACTACCACCATTGCTGCCATCATCACTATCGCCGCCACTACCGATATTTTTCTATTTTATAATTTATATAATGTATCTTTACATATAAGTTAGAAAATAAAGTAAAATTAAGCAAAACAAAAAAAATGGTAATTCTGTGATTTTACATGGATTCCAATTTCATTTCATGCGAATCAAATAGAATCTGGAATTAATTATAATTCGATTTCCAATTCCGATTTCAACTTCCTCATAAATATTCTACAAACCAAATAGTACCTAAATGTTTTAGTTATTCAAAATTACTGCCTTTCATGGGGAAGATGGAGGTCTTGGTAGAGCGCGTTCCAGGACTGTTGTTTATTTGGGGTCGTATTGGTCAAGTTCACCATTTCACTCAACAACATGGTATGGATTTGGATACTATCTTCATGCAACGTTCGGATAAATGGTTGTGGAGTCTAAAAAGTGACGGTATCTTCTCGGTTTCCTCTCTTAGAAAGAACATTGATGATCAATTTCTTGAGCAAAATTTTATTTGAACGATGTGGAATAAAATTGCACATGGTAAGGTTAACCTGCTGATATGGAGCGCACGACATCTTCGTTTACCAACTCGCACGAACTTGCACCGAAGGGGGATCATATTACCATCCGTTTTTTGTCCCTTTTGGCACAGCAGCCCTGAAACTGATGCACACATTTTTCTTGACTGCAACACGGTTAAAGAAGTTAGAGGCTTACTTCACACTTGGTGACCTAGTAATCCACCTTCCTCTTCCACGATTACTAATTTTTTTGAACTGGAATGGTAGAAAGCCTCTTAACAAAAGACTCACAATTGTGGTTGAAGTCATTCTCATCACGTTAATGTCGATGATACGGAATTATAGGAATAAGCGGGTTTTTAACTTAAGATTAAGTCTAGTCTTGCTTTAACTATTGAGGTCAAATTTTATGCTTTTAATTGGCTTAAAATTAGATCCAATAAGGGTATTTCCTTATGATGGGAAAATTGGGTTCTCAAACCTCACACGGAATGTATTACAAAATTGTACTTCTAGCCTCTAACTAGCTTTTCTATAATATTTCTTGTTCAAAAAAAGTAATACACTAACAACTATTAGAAAAGATGTAAATATATAAAAACCTATACAAACATTTAACAATATCACTTTTTGAAATATTATTTTCGTTATGTTGTCTATTAGTTATAAAATGGGTAAATTTATCAAATGCTAACAAATTAATTTCTAATTCTAATTATGATATTTTTTAACAATAAAAGCGTGTTCTAACAATATACTATACAACTCATTTAATTACAATTAATTATGTAATCACTGTTAATCAATATCAATATCATTGAATTTTTGTTATGTCCAACATCACAGCTGTACTGTATGTACGCCGACATGAAGAGAAAAGGGTAAAAGAAAACCAAAAGATAAAAATCAAAAAATAATAATAAATCAAAAAATATAAAAGCAAACAAACATTTGTTGACCTAAAAGCTCAACGCAAGTGGTGTGAACCGGTGAATGCACATTTCGATATCACTAAGGATTTTTTTTTTCTTTCTCCAAAACTTAGATACGTCGATTTTTTCCTTTCTCTAAAACGATGGGTCGATTATTCACACTTAAAATATAATATTTTTATAATATCAGAAAACTCAAAAATCAATATATCTTCTAATATTTTCTAAAATGTATTGTATCTAAACTATCTACGCATGCATATGCAGCATATCACACCATCCACATAAATTAAGCATTTTTTGGCCACGGATGCTCATCTTTGGAATTGGACGTCGAGTTTTCTTATCAAGAAAACATAATAGTAAATAAATCTACACAAGAAATGTTAGATTTTTCATTTTTCAGATCTCATGGCTTGGTATGCTCATCTTTGAAATCGGACTTCGAGCTTTCTTCGTGAATGCTATCCTTTGACATTCTTACAATCGATCTGATCATGGCTAATCACTACTAGAAAACTGGGGCAATAGCTACGACACAATCCATAGTAGGTATAAGGAAATACATACGGATTTGCTACGGAAAAATGCTTGTAGCATAAACGCCCGTGGTAAATTTATACCTATGGATTTGCTACGGACTAGCTATGGCCTATTCCGTAGGTATAATATCTACAGATTAACTACATAAAGGAATTGCTACGGAATGTCTACGGATTGCCGACGGGTGTGAAATTTGACTAAACTTAGCTATTTTCCTACGGAATAGCTACAAAAATAAATAGTGACGGATTTCCTACGGATTACCAACGGGAGTCAAGTTTGACTAAAATTGACTTTTTTCCTACGAATTACCTACGGACCTATTTAGCGACGGAAATCTGTCGCTAATTTCGTTTTATTAAAAAATAAAAATTTAAAAATTTCTATTTTTTTGTCAAATACCATAAAATGCCCCTGATACCAACTTTTACACATTCCATTCCTATATCCAAAATACCATACAAACTAAGCACTAACAAAACAAACAAACAATACCAAGTGTTTACAAATCAATTGTCCTAGGGTGGATTATCGGGCATCACAGGGTTGATTTCCAGACATATTTATCATCCTCATAATCATTTTCATTCTTTATCTATTTAAATAGACAAAATTGCAAAAATGGTTCCTGTGGTATGCAAATTTTTGGGGTTTTAGTCCAAACCTCGAGTTTTTTGAATTCATAGTCCTTTTGGAGTGGTTTGTATGTGAAAATAGTCTCTCCGAAAATTGAAATGACTATAATACCCTTGGGGTATTTATTTTTCATTTTTCTTTCATTTTTTTAAAATTTAATATTAATTTATTCATTTTAACAATTAAAAAAATAACAGAGGACCCACCCCTCTCTCTCTCCACACATGGTAATACACTCACACACACACCTATTCTCAATCTCTCCAGATTTTTTTTGGTTTTTAATTCTAAACACACACAGTGTTAAGAACAAGTGCTCAAGAACACATAATGCTCAAGAACAAACACAATGCTCAAAAATCGATTTGTATGTGTATGTTTTCGTTTTCGAAATCAATATGTGTGTGTATGAATCTGAAATCCACCATCATCTCTTTCCTCCTCTCTGTCTACTCCGATTACTTAACATCCGCCCACCGCCTCGGGTGGATTACGTTCTCAGAGATAACCCTAGAAGGGAGGTTGCATTAAGGTTTTCGCAAAGGATGTCGTCGGAGAAGGAGGGATAGGAAGTCGTCATGGGTGTTCTGTGGTGTTATGTGGTGGTTCAATGATGACGATGCTGCTCACGGAGGTTCCATATGCTCCCGCTACCCCAATACAAACAACATCGACCCTCCTCCACCGCTACCAGCTCCATTGTGGTCTTCAGCCTCCTCTATTGCTGCCATCTCCACTGTCTAAAAAGCCCCTTCAGCACCCCCCAAGCATCTTCCATCGATAGAGATTTAGATTAAGTTAATGCTGGAAGTGATCGATCTGAAAATTGGGTCTACTTCAGTGGGTTTTGTAAGCTGAATCAAATCGATCCAGCCAACTGGAGGATAACTGTAAACCTATGGTGATTACTTACACAATTTTGATCGAGGCCACCATTTTTTACGGTGGGATTACTGAAGCAATGAAGCTTCTTGATGAAATGTTGTCTAGACGTCTTCAACCCGATATGAATGTGATTTAGGGATTTTTGAAGTGATTTGAATAGAAAAGGGACTGTGAGGATGGTCAGAATAGGCTGTGTCGGGCGGTTGCAGTAGGTAACCTCGAATGTCTTGGTGGCCGGAAAAACGGCTCCAACTCCGGTAAGGAGTTCTTGGTCGTAAACGAAGAATCAGGAGGGGGAGAGAGAGAGAGAGGAGGGTGGGCCCTCTTATTTTTTTAGTAATTAAAATGAATAAATAATTATTAAGTTAGAAAAAAATGAATTTAAAAATGGAAAATAAATACCCCAAGGGTATTACAGTCATTTCACTATTCACAGGGACCAAAAACGCAACGAAACTAGCTCAAAAGGACTATCAATCCAAAAAAGTCGTGGTTTGGACTAAAACCTCAAAAAAATGCATACCACAGGGACCATTTTTGCAATTTTGTCTTTCAAATATGATAAAGATCGTTGTTGTAATAACTCATGTATGATGCTAGCAGATGATGATTTTATTTAGTTTTATATTCCAACGGTATCAGATGTCGGTGAAAAGTACTTCCTTGAGGGTTCAAGTTCTGTTCGAGACAAAATAAATAGTTTAGGAATATGTATGGAGTGTGTGTTTGTTGTTCTAAAAATATTTTATTTTATTTTATTTAGTAATAAAATACACACTTCTATCCACATATTTTTATACAGACATGAAAAAAAAACTGCAAACATTTTCCTTCTGTATAAAAACAAACACTGCCAAAATCATTTTAATATTTTTTTCAAGTCACAAATGGTCTATTTGTTAAAATTGTGCTTTCAATTTTCCATCAAACATAATTCATGGAGTAAAAACAAACCTCATCTTGAAAATTTTGACCACATGTAAACCAGGAAAACACAAAATAGTGCAAAGAGAACAACATGAAGAACATGGTTTGCTCCTGATAGAATGATATTCTTGTTTAATTTCCTCATGTTGTTCTTCACCCCTGCTTGAGCTTTTATTAATGTCATTTGCTGTAAATTAGAATAAAAAAAATATTAAAAATGCGAGTCTTTTAAAGATTGAGATTGTAAAATGTGTCATAATTCATTCATTCGTTAATCAGCCACTTAATCAATATAGGAAAAAAAGAAATAAGAATCTACAAGAAGGATCAGATTAATTCCATACCAGTTGATTGATAAACTCATTTTGATTCTTGGCTTCTAACTCAATCTCTGTTGCTACCTGTTAAAATATAAACTCTTGAATCACTTCAAATTATTCATGCAGTTTATATAATATTGTAACATAAGAACACAAGAAAACTATTAAAAAGAAAAAAGCTACTTACATTCTTTAACTGTCTAACTTGTTTGTAGAGGCCACCAATCTGATCATCCAGGTCAGCATGAACTGGATCAATGCGAAGCTGGATTTCATCAGAATTAGTAACAGGTCTAGTGCTAAGCCCTTCTCTGTTAAAAATTATGAGCAAGGAATATTTAAAACATAATAAAAAAAAAGGATAAACTTTACTTTTCTATTAACTTGTTGAAAAAATATAGAACTTGAGAGAATCACAATTCAGAAATACCTTGATCTATATGAAGCAGCACCATAGTAATTGCTGCCTTTGTGAGAACTAGATGCCATTGAACTGAAGGAACAAAGAATCAATCGGACAAGAACAAGATAAAAGCACAAACACTATAACAAATCAATCAAAAAAAGCTCACAAACTGCAAAAGCTGTAAAAGCCAAAATTCTATCGCTGTATTTACTAATACGATCAATATACGAGGTAGCAATCATTAGTTAGAAACTTAGAATACAAGTTCTACGTATCCGACAGGTAATTTACATTATAGAGGATGATAATCAGGCAATAACTTAAGAAATCCATACGAAATATTGGAGAAAATTGCATAAAGATGTTTAGGGTTTAATAAATCCGTAAAAGTGATTCGATTAAACGCTTAATAGAAGATCAGAGAGCACTTACTGGTGGAAATCGTTCAAAGCGGATTAACTGGAGCGATTGGAGAATAAGTTAGATGAAATGCAGAAATCCGACCACCGCTTCTACATAAATGAATTGAATTTAAAACAAAATTATTTATTTATAAGTTATGACTTGGAGCCGAAGATAGTTTCTTCATTATAAGACAAAATTCCGGCATTGGTCTCTGTCATTTTTCAAAATAGGCGTTGATTAAAGACAATTATTAGAAGCGTTATTCGGTATTTATGGTTTATTTTCTTGCCCTGATCCTGTTGCCATTCTTCTTTTTTTGATAAAACTATAAAAATATCACTGTGCTATGTATATTTTCTAGATTTTAATCCTAATTATAACTTTTTTGAATTGATGATTTTTTGAATTAGTTTGGTAATATATTTGGTCCCTGAAGATTGAAATGACTGTAATATCTTTAGTGTATTTATTTTTTAATTTTTTTTTATTTATTTTTTAATTTAATATTTATTTATTTATTTTAATAATTAAAAAATAAAAGATCATCCACATATCTCTCTCTCTCACACACACACATCTTAGATCGTCTTCTTCCTCAAGAAAACCCACACAATTTCACATATACATACGCACTCTAATTAAACACACATTTACACACACTAAATGCTTTGCTTGGATTTACCATTGAAAAACGATTTCGTGTTCTTGGTTCTTGTGCTCTTCGATCATCAACCTCTATTTCAAGAACAAACCCATATTTGATCTTCATCGTCCTCATCAAAATTCAGGTCTGATCTTCATCTTGTTCATCAAAACCCAAGTCACTAAACGTAAAGCCTTACGACAACTCCACCAACCGTAATCGATCCTGTTGTAGAACCTCGTCAGTTCTCCGGTCTCATCTCCTCCAGCTCCAGTTTTTTATCCAAAGATGGTGGCAAGCACGAGTTTTTCTGATTTAGAAAAATGGAGGGCCAGTGATCGGAGGAAGAAGGAGCAATTTCTGATTCACACACACATATACATTCGTTGACTTTAACTTTGATTATGGTTAACCAAGTTGGACTTTTGAGGGCATTTTTGGGTATTTCGGGATTTTGATGGAATTGGCATGATGATTGTAGGCATTGAGTCGGGAGATGAGATTCAGAGTCAGACCTTATCAGTTCTGCACTACTTGTGAGGCGAATTTTCCTCACTGTACTTGCGGGTCGAAGGCACCAAGGCCGTACCTTTGGACTTGATATCCTGCTATGCATGATATAGTGTTGTAGTAATATGTTAAGATTGGTATCCTAGTATTTAGGATGTTGTTATGCTTAGTGATCTGTAAGATCTGTTTGTCTCTTTGCTGACTAGTTAGTAGTATGTTTATCTGTATTATGTACACATGATTGGTTGGTGGCTGAGGCTTCACTGCTTTTTGTGTAAGTCAACAGGCCGAGGCATTCCAACCCGATGGTTGAGGGTCTAGGGTATTCCATCCCGAGGATGATTGGACCCATAGTATGTTGGCATTCCAACCCGATGGTTAAGAGACCTGGGGTATTCCATCCCGAGGATGATTGGACCTATAGTATGTTGGCATTCCAAACTGATGGTTGAGGGGCCTGGGGTATTCCAACCCGATGGTTGATTGGGCCCATAGTATGTTGTTATTATGCTTGTAATGTTGCTATGTATTGGTAATTTGGGGGAACTCACTAAGCTTTGGGCTTACAATTTTGGATTATGTTTCAGGTACCTCAGAGGATCGCGGGAAGGCGAAGGCGTGATCGTGCACCTCCTCATGTTTTGTTTTACGATTTTGGGATTTCTCTGATGTGAAACTTATTTGGAAAACAATTTGTAGTCCATGATGGTTTTGTGGTTGTTTAAAAATTTTAAAATTTCCAAGAATTTTATAAGTGTTACAGATACACACATGTACCTTCTTGAAACAATTTTAGATTCATACACACAAATATCTGTTCTTCCCTCTTTTTCCTCCTCCTCATGCTCGCTGACTTCAACTCCGATAAATCAACACCATCGCCATTCTGCTTACTCATTATCAAACCTACAAATGCTGACAACATCACCACATTGAACCACCATTCTCTTTGTCTCCTTTTCATCTATCTCCAACATTACCTTTGTGTCCACATCTCTGATCATTATCGTCGTCAAGCACCATCGAAAAACCCCTCACTATCTTCACACTTTATCTTCATATCCATATGATACTGTCACACCCCTAGTCGACGGTAGAAACACCGGGCGGTGAGACGACATCATGGATCACAATAATAAGCATACATTGAACATACAACAATATGGTAGTAGAATAAGTACATTTATTCATTGAAATAAGTAAATTACAATATACCCTAGTCTAGGGTACAAGAAAAGTACAAAACAAGCCTTAACAGATAGGCAACGAGGAAATACTAAAATATAAATGTGAGTACTTAAAAGTCAATTAAATGCATGGACTGGTTTTGCAAACACAAATCTTGAATTAACCTTTAATATCAATGGTTGCTAGTAATTAAGATCCAGTCAAATTTGGTCAAACCAATTAAGACTTGAAGTAAATAACTTCAACAAAGTATTCAAGAAGATTAAATAAAGTAAAGTATGAACAAATTAAAGTAATTAAGAACAAGAAGAATTTATGAGAGATGATTGACAGAAATATTAGAGTGAATTGAAGGATTCTATTTGATGCACAAAAGAGATGTAAAAGATGTGTTAGGTTGACACTCCTTTTATAGCCAAAGAAGGCACAACAAGACAAATACATAGAATAGAGAGTGCTTGCATTAGTAAACAAAATCCTGATAAAGTGGATTTTCTCTGAATCAATGGTATACTAAAAACAGAATACAACCAAAATAACTTTCTTCATGTTAGGGAAAGTTGACTAAGTTCCGAATCCAAGGCATCTCGAAACTAGTCATCTTGGAGTCCTTGTCTCTGAATCTTCACTTCATCTTTGAACCAATATTCCATCTCAGAATAAGGAATGATATCGACTTCTCTACTTCTCAGATAAAGAACTGTCTCGGGACATCATCTTCATTACGGTTGAGAAGTGATTTCAAAATCACTTCTTCATCTCGGAGTCTTCACTCCTAAATACTTCATCTCGAAATGAGAGACAAAATCACTATGTCATCTCAGAATCGTAACTGTATTGGAATGGCTTCACATCTCGGATTGTCTAAGGGGCACTTTCATGTACTAAAAATCTCCCCTAAGTGTCCTTATCAATCTTACTTCTATTCTTCTAATTCAAGGAGATTAATTTTCCTTTGTCTTTGGCAGGAGGATTCGGGGTGATGCTAAATGAGAGGAATTGTTGACCGATTGAAGTGATGAATAGTTCCTAGGGAGGAGAGATCAAAGGTTGCTCATATAGGTAGTCTGGTTTTGTGGTTGGAGGACCATCATCAACAGGTGCAATTTTTGGAGCAGGAATGGGAGGAGGAATTGGCTTAGAAGCTTGGAATGCATCATTAGTTATCTTCAATTGTAGTTCAACCCTTTCTCTTCTTCGTTTATACGAATCAACATGATTTGATGGCCAACACATAGAGGACTAGTTTTTCGTTTTATCTCCCGAGAGGAGTTGTTCATTGATTGCTTGAAGTCCAAGAATATTAACCACTTGATTGTTGTCATCAATTTCTTCTTCACTTTCATCTTCATCATCAACAAACACGTCTTCACCTACAACTTCTTTGACAAATTCGATTTCATCATCATCAGATATTTCATCTCAGAGGTTGAATTCCGAGATAGGTTTCCATAATCCCCCCCCCCTTTCATGAGAAGCCCCTGCTTCCGATGCAAGCAACAAGCCGGGCTTACGATCATCAAGCTTTTCAAATACTCGTTGGAAGCTCATGTTGATTTGCTTGGAGAGTGAATCGTATACATCAGCAATTGGAGCTTGGGATTTGAGGTGTCAAGAGTTTCTTCCATGACTAGGAGAATTGTATCGAATTTGTGATTGGGAGTGTCGACAAAATGTTTAGTAAAGCGAATGACTTTGATGAGAACTTCTTGCTTGATCATATTAAAACCATCCTTTTTTTATCTCTTTCTCCAATCTTTGAATTTCCTTTTCATGAAAAACATGAGTTTGCTTGATGAGTTTGTTTGTAGCAGAAATCATGACATTATGAATTTTGAGCATCGTATTGATGGTGGAGATGTGGTGATCAAGATTATATTTATATTCGGAGGGAGAAGAAACTATGATCTCGGAAAGAGATTTGATCACCAAATCGAGCTTAGATTCAAGCGATGTGACTTTGGAATCAAATTTTTCAACAATGTCTCGGAGTTCTAAGAGTGCGAACGGATCATCAACGTTTTCATCAATTGAAGAGCTGTCGGAATTTCTATGAACATCAACATCTTGAGATTGATTGTCTTCATCACCAACCTGATCTTCAATATTCATATCTTTCGAGGAAGAGGTCAATCCGAGTTCATATAGGAATTTGGATGTGGAAGTAACCAGGGAGGGAAAGGCAGTTTGAGTGCAAAGAGCAGCAACAGAGGCAATGTTATCTTCTAAAGAAATCCTAGTTTCATTTGGAGGAGGAGAGTTATTGCAAGGAGATTCTTCATCAGTTAGATTTAGTTTAGCTTCATTGTTGAGGGAGGGCAGTAGAGCATCGACTTCGAATTCAGTTGGTATTTTTGTTGTGAGTTTGCTACGAAGCGCTCTAGTTCTCATTTGGAGAATGGTGTACTCCACTTGATCTCTTGTACGCACTGGATGTTTAAGTTGGGCCCTGTTAAGAATTTTATCCTAATCGTTAGCAGGAGGACCTAAGCGTCCTTTATTTATGGTGGATATCAGATCATTTGTGGCTTTCGAAATTTTAGGGACAACTCCTAGTTTGGAATGCTGTGTACTTGTGGCAGGGCCACAAATTGTGCTTGTGTTGAAGAAGAAGGGAGGGTTCAAAATGACTCGTGAGTGTGTCCCAGGGGGCTCTAAAGGACTTTGTTCAATATCAATACCAACATTTTGAAAGGTTATGAGTAAATTATATGGTGACTCCTCGTGAGTGTTTGTAACATCCCAAAAATCATAAAAAAAATTATTTTTAAAACCATCTCAAAATCCATAATTCACACAAAACATAGTTTCCAAAACCATAATTATAAATTAGAGTATCCCAAAATCATAAGTGAAATAAATATCCAGGATGATATGCACAATCATGCCTTTGCCTTGCCCCTGTCCCCTAATATACCTGAAATCAGAAAATCCAATCGTAAGCCAAAGCTTAGTGAGTTCCTCCAAAGTACCACACTTAGTGAGTTCCCCCACAAAATCCAGATCGCTCTTCGGGTGTATTGGCCTTCATCAGAAAGCACGACCGTCTCAACTCAACAAACCATAACATGTCGACATATAAAATAACTAGCAATAACCAACAAATACAGGTAATCATACCAATCTACCAGTCTAACACATATATCACATTAGATTAGCATTTTTACGATTTTTAATACTTCTTAATATGCCCTTTTTTCTATAGCAATTGGTTCGGGGACCGATTTATCAATATTATCTCTATTCTTTATGAAAAAATACGAACTCATATATGACATTAGATTAGCATTTTTACTATTTTTACTGGCCTACCATCTATTACATTTTGATAACAACACATTATCTTATAATACGTGTTAAATTCCATAAGCCCCTTTATTTAATATATCAATGCATCAAGCCACTATTTTGAAGTCTAAAACGTTAGACACAACAACCCAATTGAATAGATAAATGGATAGACCTAACTAAATAAACTAGATGATAAAATGATCAAAATACATATACCTCTAAAGGTTCGTCTCATGATTCTTTATTACTCGTCCCAATCAAATTTAGATGAACATGAATCAACCAATCAAAGTCGACCCTACATACCGCCCATCGATTGACTTCACCAGAAAAAGTTGAGCATGTAAACCTAGAAATCTCAGTTGTCGCCAATGATCTTCTCACCGGAGATCAATAGCTCGTCGGACTTGTAACTAATCTCTTTTTCTAGAAATATGATAGAAACATATCTTCGAAATAGCATGTCTAGACCTATCGGTCGCCATCCGAAAGATGAACTAGAATCAGGCAACCTCGTCGGAGATCTGACAGCGCATCGGAGGTATCGTAGCCATTGGAAACATGAGTCACTCCTTCAGTTTCACGACAGCATCGTCAAAATTGAAGCTTGGCTGGAAGTGAGGTCTAGCCGGTGAAGAATCCGACAATGGCAACATATTCTACTGCGGTTCTTCTTCCTTTGCGACCCTCCTTCAACTCTTGATTTCACTAACGCCTCCTAAGAATACATACACACACGCACACACACACACACACTTCTCTAGCTAGTGTTTGATCCTTAAATAACCTCGGTGAAGGTTCAGTAACCCAAAATAGAGGAAAACCTGATGGGTTTTGAGCATTCTAACACTCCTAAGTGTACATGCAACCCTAGAAAGAACTTGGATCTATGTTTGTCTAAAATACATGCAAAATACTTTTTCCAAGGTTCATAATCCTATCTAGCATACATGGGGAACTTTAAACATAAAAGATGGCTAGAATTACATACATTGTTGTTGTTTTGATTCCTTGAAAACCTTGAGAGCCTAGCACCCCAAATGTGATGCCTCAAATGTTTCACACAACACCAAATGCTCTTGGAATAAACTTTGAGAGAATTATCTAACACTTGAAATCAGCCTTGCCCTCTTGTCTCACTAGTGTAACCGATTTTGGTGGACG